CCAAATGATTATCTCTTCTTCTTTGCCTTCCACCTTTTGAGTTTCTCTGATTTGCTCTCCTTGGACTTTGGTTTTCTCTATCAAGAACTTAAGAGTTTCATTGTCAATAACACTGCTGTTGTTTTCTCCCGTTCCTTGACTAACTATGGACGAGTAGGAGATCGGGGATGCCATTCTGCTCGAGGGTGATCCTAGTCTTTGTTCTGTCCCTTATCCTTCCCTTCCCCTTGGATTATTGCGAGAGCCTCGCTTGAGGGATGGTGGGAGGGACACTCCCCCAGACAGGGGGGAGAGATTGCGACTGCGGCCGTGATTCGTTCGAGGAAAAGACCAATCTTTGACTGAAGAAGAAAAAATTGGAGGATGATGGGATCGTGTGGGGGGTAGGGTATGGGGATAGAGTTTTGTGATCCACTGAGTGGGGTGGCGTGAGATCCCTTAAGATTAAAGCTGTGAGAAAGAGGAGATAGGGTGAGGGGTGGGATGATTGGGTCGAAATGAGATCGGGATACTTTTGGAGTGGGGATTGGCGGAGAGAGATGGCGACGTGGATGCGCTTCGGAGGTGGGGTGGTGTTGGGATCGGGATGGAGTCGATTTGGGATCGAGATGGAGTCGGGGTGGAAAAAGTCGGGTTGGGATCGGGTTGGGATCGGGATCGGGATGGGGTCGGGTTGGGAACGGAGCGGAGACGGGTTGGGGTGGAGCCAGGCTAAGCTCGGGGTGGAGACGGGTTAGGAAAAAGTCGGGTTAAAGGTGAGTTGGGAACGGAATGGAGTTGGGTAGGGTTCGGGATGAAGGCTGGTTGGGATGTAATCGGATAGGGGTAAAGTCAGAGTGGGGTCGGGATGGAGGGAAGTTGGGGCCGGGATGGAGTCGGGATGGAGTCGGACTGGGATGTAATCGGCTAGAATGTGGAGGCGAGTTGGGGTCTGGCGATGAGTTAATGAGCCGGTTTGGGATCGGGATGGGCTGGGTTAGGATAGGGATGAAGTCGGGTTGGAGACAGGTTAGGATCGGGATGGAGTCAGGTTGGGATCGAAATGGAGACGGGTTGGGATCAGGATGGAAACGGGTCGAGATCGGGACGGAGACGAGTTGGGATCGGGATGGAGACGGGTTGGGAACTGACGGAGTTGGGTTGGGGGGTCGGGATGAAATCGGGTTGGGGTCGGAATGGAGTCGGGTTGGGAGTGGGGTGGAGTCGGGTTGGGCTAGGGATGAAGTCGGGTTGGAGATTGATTGGGATCGGGGTGGCGTCGGGTTGGAGTCAGGTTCGGGTCAGGGTGGAGACGGGTAGGGATCAGGATGGGGCCTGGTTGGGGTCGGGATGCAGACGGATTGGGGAAGGAATGGAGTCGGGTTGGGATCGGGATGGAGTCGGGTTGGAGTAGGGGTGGAGATGAGGATGGAGATGGGTTGGGGATGGGATGGGACCGGGCTGGAGTCGGGTTGGAACCGGTTGTGATCGGGATGGAGTCGTGGACGGGACGGGGGATGGGTTGGGGTATAGTCGGAGAGGGATGGAGTCGGATTGGGGTCGGGATGAAGGCGGATTGGGATGGCGCCGGGTTGGAAGAGAGGTGGGATGGGGGAAGTTGGGTTGGGGTCGGGCTGGATTCGGATGGGAACGGGATGGAGTCGGGTTAGGATCCGGGAGAGGTCGGGTTGGGGTCGGGACGGGACCTGACTGGGATCGAAGTGGGGTCGGGTAGGGGTTGGGATGGGGTCGGATTGTATTCGGGATGGGGTCGGTGGGAGCGGGGCGCAGTCACGCGAGAGGGGCGAGGATCGAGGATGGGAGGGGGGCGCTATCACGAGGAAAGGACGATGATAGAGGCGAGATCGATGTCGAAGGTGGGACCGAAGGCGAACCGCCGGGGGTCCGGTGTTGGGGAGGGAGCGAGTGTCGATGGTGGATTGCGTGGGAGGGTATAAAGAGATCAGATTTCGGAGTAAGATTATTACTGGACTGAAATGGAAATGGGCTGCAAGGCAAGGCCTTGACTTTGAACTCTCTATACCTGAGGACTGGGTGGGCGATATGGCGGGGGAGTTGAGGTAGGATTGGAGAGAAAGAATGTGGTTGGGAAAGGGAGCGGTATATGTATCAGTGATAGGGATTGTAATGAAGACGGGAAGGAGTGTAGTGGGAGCGTGATTAAGTCGGGGGGGGGAGGAGCTGGAGGTAGTTAGAAGGGTATCCTTGGCGAGGGGTCCATTATTCACCCATTATTCACTCTATCTGTGTCAAAATAATGATTGTCTGGCAGTGTCTGCACATTTTGTTGGGGCTCCAACCACACCTACTGTCTTCACCTGAATAGAATGCCCGGTCACTATCACTGTACAGACTGTGTACGTAGACTGAAAGTTGCCCAAAATACAGCTATAAATTTTTAGTGGCCAGGCGTGCTATTCGGGTGAAGACGGTAATTTAATCCCACCTCATATCCAAAGTCACAAGCTTCTCCCAATAGTCACAGCCAAAGCTGCTTTCTCTTTGTTTTTTGTTTTTTTTTTTTTGTTTTTTTTTTTCCCTTTNTTCTCCCCTTCTTTCTCTCTTCGTATGCGTGCCATCCTTGTACAAGGGCCATGCTTTTTTTTTTGGGGGGGGGGGTCCTGCCATATTTGGAGGTAGGATTCTTGGAGAGCTTGTCTGACCGTGGGGTCTTTCTCCTGTAGATAGTCCCGCTGCATTGCCTTCCAGGCTTCATGAGTACGGGATCTAATCACTTCTTCTATCTCCTGTTGTGCCTGCTGTAGTCCGAACTGGTGGTCTTTTCTCTCGAAGGAGCACCAAGCTCTCCAGGCCAGCATAAGCACCTGCAGCCTCATATAGGCAAAGAGGTTGTTGGCAAAAGGGGTCCATTGTCTCGTCAGGTTTTTTGCTGAGTAGGAGGAGGCCTATGTCCCACGGGATGCGGAAACCAGTCAGGGCATGAAACGCCGCATCCCACCATCTCCATATCTGGGAAACCATCGGGCAGGCCAGCAGGCAGTGTTCCAGTGTTGCTCTGGCCGGCTGCGTGGTCCTACAGCAGTAGGTGCAGATGGGGGATAGCAGACCTTTCTGCTCAAGGTCCGTTCTTGACACGAGCCAGTCTGGTGTAGGGAGGCAGCGATGCAAGATCTGCCATTGCAGCGACCTAAGATTCGTGGGCATAATTTTAGAGTATGTGGCCCAGGATAGGTTCAGCATAAGGCACAAGTCCACAGGCGAGTCCCGCTCCCATCTCTAGAGCAGTCTGTGGTTAATTGGCAGGTCTGGGCGGGATAGCTTGTATCCCCTTCGGACTGTATAGTCCCACATATGCATGGGCTTTGGGCCGGGCCATTCCCATTCGTCTGGGTCAAATGGTAGCCTGGCTACTGGAGATGTGGGTTCATATGCATAGTAGCCATTGTCCTGATCCCCAACCACCCTTACAATCATCAAGCCTCCCCACCCTTCAGTAGTATCGAGGTCCTCATTCCTGAGGAGTTTAGAGAGGCGAGCCCCAGGCAGAGCGGGGTAGTAGGCTTCCAGTGTACATCTACCATTGTTGTTCCTTTGCACTCTGTACACAATGGGCGGGTGAGGGAGGTCAACATATCTTACCACCCAGTCCTGTTGTTGTATCTTGGGACCTGATGTAAGGACTCCCAGCCAGGCCTGAGGTAGGGCCTCCCTTAATTGGTAGAGTTTGTCATCCACTTTCTTCACATGCTTCAGTCTGGCCTGCAGCTGCTATGGTGTAACCCAGTTATTTGCTCTCGTGTCCCATAGGACCCCGGCAGTAAAAATCCCATTTTTTGCTCAGATTAGCCAATGCGGGTTAGTAGTGAGCACAAAAGGGTTACCTGCGTGGTCTAGGATGTGGGGATTACCAAAGAGCGGTTGTCTCCAAACTGTTTCCCATCTGTTTGGCGGGCGTTTTTGTGTAGGCCCCCTTTTCCTCCAAAGTTTGATCATGCGGGGCCATAAGGGATCATTCGTGATATCTCGTCTGACAGCTTGTGCCATAGGGGTGCCTGCATGTGCATGCTGGCCCGGGCTCGGGATCGTCCAATGGTTGTTGGTCAGCCATTGGAGCGTGTGCACTCCATTTGGGCCTAGTGACAGCGGGGCCAAGTTGGCTATTTGTATGCAGGCCAGAGGTCCCCACGAGATATCATTTCCTAACAGCAATCTGACCAATACTTTGAAAATCAAGGCTTCGCTCTCCCCTTCCGGGTCAAGAACCCCAAGCCCCCCTTTGGCTCTTGGTTGGGTGAGGATGTCCCAACTCACTCTCTTCATGCAACAATGAGAGTTTGCTTTGTTTTTCCACAAATAGGTCGTGAGTGCTCTTCTGAGCCTGGCATACTGTTGTTTCGGCAGTGGCCAAACTGCCAATTTATACCAGATCGCCGCAAGGATTGCGTTGTTAATTGCCAAAGCCCGGCCCACCAGCGAGGTTTGGAGACCATCCCACTTTGCCAGTCGATCTATTGTCAGGTCCACCAATGTGTCCCCATGATCTGGTGGGGGGGGCATCGCCGTGAGCATGACGCCCAAAATCCGGATAGCTTCATCTTTTGTCTGTCATTTGACCGTCGGTTGCTGGGGTGGGGGCTGGTCTTGGGGGCATAACCACCAACCTTCCGTTTTGGATCCCCAATTAACTTTCATATCCGCCGCCAACGAGAACTGGTGTATAACTCGCATGAGGGCCTGGATGCTGTCGGTGTCTGCCCGTATTAGAACAGTGAGATCATATGCAAAAAGCGAAGTCATCGGAATGAGGTGCTCCGAGAGTTCGGGGATGGGTACCTTACTGATCTGAGGGTGAGCCCTGATTAGTGATGCGAGGGTCTCCATAACAATAACGAAGAGTAACGGCGCGATGGGATCCCCCTAGCACACCGATCTCTGAAGCCCAATGGGGGGCGAAAGATGCCCATTTAGCATAATGTTCATGATAGCCGATTTATGGAGGAGCTGAATCCAATTGCAGAAAGATGGTCCAAAATTCATCTTGGCCAGACACATGTCCAAGAAGTCCCAGTCAACGTGGTCATACGCTTTTTCGAAATCTATGAACAGAATCGCAACTGACACTTTTTCCTGTCTCGCGTACTTTATACTCTCATTGACTAGGAGGGTATTGTCTTGGATATTGCCGTTGGGCATAAACCCAGTCTGGTTAGGATGAATCAATATGTTCATCAGAGGCAACAAACGGTTGGTCAGTGCCTTGGCCACCATTTTGTAGGGAATCGGAAGGAGAGTGATGGGTCTGTAATTTCTTATATCCTCCCTGTCCCTTTTTTTGTAGAGCAGTGTGGTAACGCCCTGCCCAATCATTCCCCCAAAGGAGCCCTTTGTCTGAATCGCCGCAATGTAACTCATAAGATCGTCTTGAAGCAGATCCCATAAGTGCACCCAAAACTCCTTTGGGAAGGAGTCAATGTCTGCCGTTTTCTCATCCTCCATACCTTTCAGAGCATCTCATTCTTCAGCGTCGGAGATTGGCTTTTCCAACATTTGTCTTTGGTCTGGTGTCAGGTGTGACTGGAGTGCTTGCAGCAGGTCTTCCCTCGCTCGTAGCACTTCATCCGGATCCTTTTCAGGGGTTTGGGAGGTGAACAATTGTCGATAGTACGAGGATGCATAGTCCACTATTGCATATGCATTTGACGCCACGCAGGCATCGTCATGGAGGGGGTGCTTGAGTCTACTGATTGTGGCAGCCCTGCTTCGGGCTTTAGCCTTGCTGAAAAAGCACTTCGCCATTGTTCCATCAGTGTTGCCTTTTTTTACTCTAGCCTGAATTCTCCATGCCTATGTTTGGCTTTCTATGTATGCCTGGAGGTGATCCCGAGCCTCTTGTAGTTTCTCGAAGGAGGGTTGGTGCAATGGGTTGTCCATCTGTGTGTCATCCCATTCCTCCAGTTCATGCATTAGTCTGTCAAGAATGGCTTTACGATCCCTCGCATGCTGGATGGAGAATTTTTTGGCCTTTTCTCTTAGTTGAGTCATGCCTTCGTTGAACCAGACCACTCTATCACCAGATTCTGGTTTGCGGGTTTGCCAGAAGAGCCAAAACTCGTTCACCAAGTCTCTAAACTTGGGTAGGGATAGCAGCGAGGTGTTAGACTTGTAGAACCCCGGTCCCCTCTTGATGTGGGTGTGGAAGGATAGCCCCAATGTAATCATTTTGTGGTCAAAGGACTTGCAGGGCCTGATAGCGGTTATCTCTGCAGTGGTAACCAGGCCGAGCAAGTCCTTGGAGACAAGTGTGAGATCAATGCGTGAGTTGGCTAGGCCACAGTCTCCCCTGGAGGACATGCATCTGTAGGCCCTCTGGGCCGAGTGTAGTACTCTATAGGCGTCCTCTAATCCCCGGTCCGCTATCAATTGTCTGAGCATAAGAATGTCCGGACCGAGGTGCGGCGGCAAAAACGCCTGTGAATCCTGTCGCTGCGAGGTTGACCTTCGGTCCATCATTGGATCCAAGGTGGTGTTGACATCCCCCGCCATTATGAGCGGGGCATCGTTTGGAAGTTGCTGGATAAGGGTAAGCCAAAGATCCACCATGTGTACTGGGTCATTCGGGGCGTAGATATTGACAAGGTCGAACTCATCTTCTTCATATGCCACTTTCAGACATACCCACCTACCCCGCCTATCGTCGTGTTGTGCTGACACAAGTCTGAGTCTCGGGGAGGGAGGGATCCAAATCGCCACTCCTGCAGACAATCTTTCCTTTGCTGGTGCCGGAT